CCATATAAAGCCTAAAGAGAAAGAATAGGAAACATATGACCGTTTCCTTCTGCAACATGCAAACTGACATGCATTCATCCTAATATGGCGTAAACTGCCCTTCTTCACGTTATCTGGAAATAGGCTAAAAAAATAAAAAAAAACAGTTGACTGCTGCCAGAGAATAAAAATAAGCAGAACTGCTGAAGGCCCTTGTTCTGTCAGTCCATTCACTGCTGCTACTTTAATGAGTCGAATTAGGCCAGTGGATATAGTACGGTGGCTGTAAACTGGAGCGTAGCTGTTTACTCCCTCTGGGATCTCACTGTGAATCAAAGGAAATGTGAGAGGTCTCGGAGGAGGTGGCTGAGCGCAGGCCAGATTCACATTACACAGACCTAATAACAGAAGAGGGAAAAAGTAAAAAGCAGCATTAAGTGCACATTCTGCACTGGAATAAAGTTCACTAAAAGGAGCAGCGTAGGCAGTTAAAGAAAAAAAAAAAAAAGTGTCTTCTGCATCAGACAAGGAGAATACCTAAACACTGAATTCATAGCTGATATTTGATTAGATTAGCATTTTCCAGGCCACCGTTTGATGTTAAAGGAAGGATAGGCCGTCTCATCCCGTGGTGTTTGGCCAATGCTAGGAGGGGAGAAGATGAACTGACAGCACAGAGAGTGTCTGTGTTACTGTGTTTGGGACTGAGAGGAAAAGAGTGGCTACATTGTCACACTGACTCCTGATGTAGTGAAAAGGAAATTACTCAAGAGTTCCCCACTGGGTGCAAACAAAAAGGAGCAAAACACATCACAACTCTGTGTTCACAAGCCAAATTTAGAGGCCAAAGCTCTGTATGGAGAGTTTAATCTTAAACTGAAATACTATGCATCAATGTGTGCCTGAAAGCTGAGGCAATGTGACAGATGATTAATTTTTCAAGTAGGTTCGAGGCACAAGGAAAGAGGAGAGTGCTGTTAAGGACACACAGGCAGAGGCATATAGTGAGCCCAAAAAACAACATCAAGTTATAACAAGCTCAAATACTGAAGAGTGTTCACTCAGTAATTACTTTTGCACTATAAAATCTTTACTAAATAGATGATCAAGTAATGATTAAGAAGTGTTTTACATTTTCAGTGGTACCTTAATAATTAAATGTCTACTTAAATGAGCCTTGTTTACATATATAAAAATCTATATCCTGTGGCAAAAAAAAAAAAAAAAAAATCCCAAACAGAACAAGGCAAGAGTGGGTAAGTAAGTTTATATATATATAGGCAAGACATTTATTTTACATCTACAATAATTTACAGATCAATTTGACTGCATGATTGGTTTATGGAGCAAACAATTGTTATTAGTAATTTGATAAAGTAGAAATCAAAACATTTATTTCTCTTCCTCCCCAAGTGTTTAAGTTTAAACATCACTAACTGAGAGGATAGACTTCTGTGTTTTCACACATTATAACTGAGCTTGCCTAAGTTCTGTTATCATTTGCTTTATGTATAATGATGCAAACCAAACCTTATGCTTCCCGTTTTCTCCAAGAATAAAAAAAGCAGTGAAAGCAGTATTTTTTTATGTCTATCTACTAAATGAAGCTTCCTAGTTTATGTCCTTCTTTCAGCCACACCCTAGCTGTCCACACTTTCCTCAGTATGTCACAGAACTGTAATTAAGCGACAGGGATGACGTCTAGGAGCAAAAAAAGACACAGCCTGTCCCTACTAGATCATCCATCTTTGAGAAATCTCTCTTAGAGTTGGAAAGTAAAAGCCTTTCTTCACAGCAGGGTAATGAACAGATCAGCAGCAGTAATGTATCCAGAAGAATAACAGCAGGACTCAGCTATGCTTTCGGTAAGCTGCTGGATTCATACAAGATTGATAGATGGACATTTGGTGAGACCTGAATATAAAAAGACCAAATTGAAAGACTAGGCAAATATTTAAACTGCCAGACATATACAAAAGAAAAATTGTTATAGGTTATTTCGTGCAGGCAAACCTTCCAATTACCTTCTCTAATCCAAAGCTACCTAAATTATACTTTATCTGCTAAATACAACTAATAAAACGGTATGAATGAAAGAAATCTCTACTATGAATTTAATTTCATTGGCAAACACTTTGTTTATTGATCATGATAAATATAAAATATAGTTTGTCATTTTAAAAGCAAATGCTGCCAGCCTATTAAACTATAAAGAATAGCAAAGAAAAAGTATGAGAGTTTTAAATAACAGTAAACTTGAACTGAAAGCTCCACATTTTGGGGAACTTTATGGATATTTTGATATAGTTTAATGAATTTTACATGAAGAAAGTTCAACGTTAAGCACCACTGGATAAAGACAGAGGCAAATCTAAAGAGAGGACAGAAGAAAAAACATAAACCAAAAGGTCGGGATATATGTCATATAGTAATCCCCTTTAAAAAGTATAATGATTGCTAAACTGAGGGACCTCCTGTCCTTTTGCTCTAATGTAGGACAGTATCAGGGTATTAGATGAGGGGGTGGGGGGTGGGATTAGCACCAAGCATCCACAGATTTAGCAGCACAATCTACCACAAGTCACCCACTGTGGGTCTGCTGCCTCTACCCTTTCACCCTCTACCCTGGGGGAGGTCGGGAACAGCTTTCCAAACACGCTGCTGTCTGCTGCTGGACTGTGAGCCAGATTGGTATCAAGCATGAGGACCCTGCCCTATTCAATCTTTGGCACATTAAGCAGCCTATGCAGGAAACGTTCGTTTAAACGCAGCAGGATATCACACAGTCTACTGGCTCTGATCCAGATGCGTTGTAATAATTGCCAACGATTCACACTAGAAATGGGAGAAGTTTAAACCATAAGACAGAATGAAAATGGTAACAAAATTATAAATAGCTTTGTCAGATAAACGGTTGGGAAACATTGGGCTGTGGAATTAAATTGTTTAGTGGATTGATCCTAAAGCCTTTTACATCGATATGGGAATTGGTGCTTTACAAAGGGTAAAAATAAAAGCATCACTAGCAAGTCTTGGAGATTTTGTATATAGCCTGTATCAATAGCGATGATATCTTAAAATCTTCAAATTTCAATGGCGTAATCCGGCAATGATCTAACTTTCTAACACCACCGCTACTGGCGTCAGCTGTAAGACATGGACTTCCAATTCTGAGGTTGTTGGTTCGAGACCCAACTTAGACTTTAAGGGAGTGGCGGCCTAGTAGTTCAGACATAGAGCTTTGAATCCTGAGGTTCTGGGTTTGAGACAGACTGCCGCAGACTACCACTCTGGGTCTCTAAGCAAGACCCTTAACCTCACACTGCTCCCCAGGCGCCGCACAATGGCAGCCCACTGCTCCCAAAGGGGATGGGTTAAATGCAGAGGTAATTCTTTTCAGAAGTAAGATCAATAAAGCGCATGATACAAATCCTTTTAAAATAAATTACGAGTCATATCTGTAATGTACATACAAAACAAACCAATACAAACCGCTATGTAATAGTTAGGTTTGAAGTGGAAGTAGGTTATTGATGTAACAGGAATGCACAACGGCCTAAAATATGCTTTCTGTTTATTCTACAGAACCCATAATTTATCATCTTCAGCCGAGAATCAGAACGCCAAGGTCCCCGCCCTCGACTGCCACCCATCACACATTGCACCCGACCCCTTTGGCCCCTCCTACAGGTGGTGAGCCCATTGGAAGGGGCATCCATGTTTCCTCTTAGGGTTGTGCCCGGCTGGGCTCCATGGGTAAAAGCCCGGCCACTAGGTGCTTGCCCAAGCATGGCTCCAGAGTGGGGCCCGAGGTTAACCTCATCCGGGTGAGGGAACACTACATCCATTTATTTTGCTCGTCATAAGGGGTCTTTAAGCTGCTCTTTGTCTGGCCCCTCACCTAGGACCTGTCTGCCTTGGGTGATCCTGCTTGGGGGCTTAAAGCCCCCAGACAGAGTAGCTCCAAGGGTCATTGGGACACTCAAACCCCTCCACCATGATAAGGTGGAACCCCAGGGAGGGCCTGGCCCAAGTGGCTGGGGAGAGGGTCATCTGGGCCTCCCTACTGAAACGACCCGACCCCGGACAAGCGGAAAAAGATGGATGGATAATTTTTCATCATCTTACACGGATAAAAAAGTGTTAAAATATAATGTGAAACAACACTGATCAAAATCCCTTTTAAAACGACACATTAAGTCTGTCATTGGAAACCAAAAAAGGCAGTGATAGATGAAGAGGTGGGTTTAGTGTGGTGTCTTCTTTCAAACGTTGTCTAATCCAATAAACTCTCAGCTAGAGGGCCGAGAAGATTACACAATAACGCTCTAGATATCGAACTAGACTTCCTTAAGTTTGACTTTGGAGAAAAAAAGCATAAAAAAAAAAAATCAACTGAACTTTTTCCTACCACCTATCTAACATACCCAGTTATGTTCATCATAACTGACCCTCTGAACTATATTTCCTTACCAGATTATTGCAAGAAAACAAATGAAGCAAATGAACTTCTGCCCCCCCCCGCAGGGGTAGGGCAGACTGACTCTCACCTGCCACTTATGGACGCGAACAAACAAAAGCGCATGAATTAAGGGACATAGAGATTTAGACGGATGAGGACAAATAAAATTTATATATTCAGTTTTTAGAATCAGCTCTTGGGTATCCAAGGAACTAAAAAAAGAAATAAACTACTATCAGCGTCGTTAAATAACCTGTGGTCAAAGTGAGCTCCACAGGCTGGATCGCAGTACTTTGAGGTATGCGGAAATGAACTTCAACTATATAGAAGCTATATTTCTGACCAACAGAGACAGAGTTGTGGTATTACGGTTCTAAAATACACACAAAATTATTTTTTGTAAACTAAACCACGGACACAGACACAGAAAAAACAGACTGAAGGCTGAATTAAATGCGCACACGCACAAACAAAGAGTGAGACGGAAAAAGACGCACGCTGGGAGCCGCTTGGAGAAAAGAAAACGCGTAAGAAAAAACATATAATTAGTTAGTCTTACCTTTAGGAAACAGAAAAAAATAAGCTTTTCAGATAATCCCAGCCCGGTGTCCTTCTGCAAATGTTGCTTGACGACAGAGCTCTGAACAAAAAAGTGAGTGAAAGGAGCGTCACCTCAGCCAGGCTCCGCCCTGCTTGGCGCGACCCCACCCAGCGTGGGGTCTGCTTCATGCCCCACCACCACTATGTTATTATTGACAGGGGCCATACTCTGTTTCCCAAATAAGCTTTTTACAAGCTGTTTTCTATTCATAGACTTCCAGTAGAAAGACAAGAATAATTTTCTTTTTATTTATTCCACATATATGTTCAGAAAATTATTATTTAGGAGAATTTAACATTTTAAGAGGAAAATATAACCAAGAACAGGTGTAAAACTACGGATGTAGCCTATTTATTGTGTCAGAGACCATGAAGACTGAAGACCCTGTCTTTGTTGGGTTTATTCTTCTTTCACCTGCGTGACGCTCGACCACACCTTGACTACATCACGAAACCAGACAGTTGGATGAGTCACTGCTGCTGCCGGGAACTAACCCCTCACTAACAAACACACACCACCATGCAGCTTCTCCTGATTGTTTTTCTTTATTTTTCAGAAATCACTTTAGGTTTCAGTCTTCGTTTGAATAAAAATGACAGAACTGTTTAGAGAAATTAGAGTTCTCATCGTGTTTCTTTCCTGACATGGTGAGGTCTATTGTTTGTGTTAAACAACAAACAAACAACAAAAAGCGAAACAGTTTTCCACACTGGTAAAGCCACGTGTTGTCATGTATTCTATTTGTGCAATATATTTTGGTGCTTGTTAAAATAAACAAATGTAAACAGTCAAAGGTCCATGCATCAACCACAGAAAAAACAAAAAGCTTTATTGTCATTTTGTATATACAGAGTGCATTCAAAATGAAATTTCCATGCATATAGCAGTGAAATGAACATTTATATTTATAAAATGCAGCATTGATGTAAATCTAAACAATGTAGGAGAAAAGGAAAACCAGACCAGACACCAAGACCTGGTGCAAAAGTCATTGATATGCATGCATTGATATGCACTGATTTTTGCAAAATGCGGTAGTATATTGAGTTGTGTTCTGTTTAAAAGGAGGGAAGTAAATGTATTTAATGGAGGGAAGAGGAGCCCCAATGATCCTTTCTGCTGTTCTCACCACTCTTCACACGTTCCAGGTCTCCAGATCATCCCATATTGTCTGGATACCTAGGTTAAAAATGTGAAAATAGCCTTAAAAGTATTTGTATATTCTTTATTCAAAGCTGTTCACTAAAAGTAGGTCTTATCCATTTATTTTTTATTTTTTGTTACTGTTCCAGTTGTTATAACCGGTTTATTTTTGCTCTATAAATACATGTATTTCACATGATCAAACCAATTTTCATTTCAGGCACAGATAAGCAGAGGAAAATGCCATTTTCAAACAGTTCATTTTACTATGCAAGAAGCTTTCCAGGACAACCTGGCCCATTGTCTTGAGTTTCTATTTGTATCTAGGAAAATTGAGTTAGGTTCTATTAACCTCTTTTAGGTCTGATTATCTGGAGAAACAAAAAAATTAATAAAATTATGGCTAAAGCACGGAATGTCCGACAGTATGAGCTACACTAAAGTTTTTAAAGAGCAACAAATTATGCTCTGCTCTAAAAACATTTAAAAGTACAGTAGATGACATGCAGAGTTAGTGTCATCTGTCAGTATGAAAAGGGCTTCAAAGCAATTTTGGAAGTTTTTTTAAAACTTTTTTAATCCAAGTGAGACTGATTCAAGGAAACATCAACCTTCGCAGGAGGGATTTACCATTCAAAATTACACCAAGAGCACATCATTAGTCCTCCAACAAGTCACAAAATATTTAATTGGAACATCAAAGCATCCCTTGCCTCATCGTGCTGCATACCTGGTCCATTTGAATGATTCAGCAGAAGAACTAGACAGTGAAAAAAATGCATCAATAAAAGAGGTTTGAGTCCAAAACCCTAGCTGACCAAAATAAAAAACGTCCACCATCTGCCTGCTTGACAGCTCACCTGAATTAATTTATCACTGAATTTTGCTATCTAGAAGATAATCCTGATGGTGAATGTCAAAAGTTTTTAATTTTTAGCTCAACTGCATCAGTGTTATGCAGCCAAACAATGATCAAAAGCACAGTAAGTCCACCTACGTATTGCTCTGAAATAATCAAAGGTTTCACTGGGCCTAATATAAGCCTGGACTTAAATCAAATACAGCCGTGGCATGACATTAAAAAGTATTAAAAATTAAAACCCTGGTGTGCATGGATATAGGAAAGGATTACTTTTTCCTTCCAGTACAATATTAAGTTAGACAATTTTTATAATAAATAAACGTTTAATTTGAATCAGCTCTTTGTGATTATTCAAGTTAACTTTGTTTTATTTTAAAAAATGTCATAAATTCTGAAACAATGAAGGCAAAAACAAAAAAATCAAACATATACATAGAGACAAAAAAAAAAATCACGTACAAGAAGAAATAAATGAAAGCATCACCTCACCAAACACAAGGTCTTAGGAACCAAAATTTTAAGTAATCTAAACCTCCAAATAAATCCAACTTTCTTTTTCAACAATAAGCAAAACACTTTTCAAACTCTTTGAGCTCCTTGTAGTTTATAGACCTTGAGTGCTGTGCTATTTAACGAAATAAATGAAGAGTTTCACTTTAAATGTATGTATTAAAATAAATAAATGCTTTATTCAGTCCCTTGACTTAACTTAAATAAAAATAAGCAAACAGATTTGTCAGAGCTTTCTCCTCCTGCTCCTTGTCCCTCTAAGGTTATTTAGCAGCTGTACCTCCAACAGCCAGTAACAACCTTTTGATGCCTCAGCATTAATAATATAACAAGGCATTATATAAAAATGCATCAATGAGATCAAACCCTAATTCTAGTTCCCGTTAGATGGCTCTCTTTTTATGCAGGACTGTTGTGTCTTTTGCATTGCTCCACTGGCTCTGTTCATTGATCAGCTGTATAACCAATAGGGGCAGTGATGCACGAATAAGTGGAAGACCTGTTTATTTCAGTTCTGATATTTTTCCAGTGGCATTCCTGCCAAAGGTTAGGAGCTTGTGTTCTACCCTGTCATGTGCAGCTGAATAAAATTCGAGCCGGCTGTTTTTGCACTCTGTTGCATGTATCCGTATGCTCGACATCAAACAGCAAAGGTCAGAATGAGATTAATGCCCTAATTACCCACTGTCTTACAGAGAGGAACTGCATTTATTTGACAGTAATGCGCAGACAAAAGTGCATTATTAAGATGTAGTGTTCATACATATTTTAAAAAAGCAATAACCAGGGAGAGGAGTTTTTAATTGAACGCAGAGGAGGTAAAATACATCAGTGGAGTGTGCAGAGAAGCTTCTCTAACTGCCTGCATGATACACTCATGCTGGATGATAGACGCAGATAGGTCAGGCTGTTCTCTGTGTCCCGCCTCGGGCTGTATCATCCGCGTTCTCTCCTGTGCAGCCATTGTGACAGTCATCATCTGCGGCTCACCGAATGAAAGGGACAGAGGCAGAGCAGGGACGGGCCAGGCCGGGTCACCACTGGTTATATAGGCCATTATATCTGTCAGAGCGAATGGGTGGACTCTTAAAAATAGCCCCGGGTCTAATTGACACTCTAGTGTTTTGATGTGTTGCTCTGAGGGGTCAGAAGAGTGTAAAGGGAGGTTGAATGATTATTAGACTGTTCACTGAACGGAACAATGGGTTCATGTTGCCATACCGGACCATTTGAATCTATAATTTGTTGGCTTTGACTTTTTGCTTCATCAGATAACTCTGAGTGGTGGACAAAGGGGATACTCCAGCTTGAATGGGACCATTGTCTGAACACAGGCAGCTTCTTTATTTTGAAAATTTGCCAGGAGTTGAAAGAATGGTTACTCTGCTTATAAACTTTGATAAGTGAAGTACTTTTCTACATTTGATGTCAGTAAAGGGGTTATGTCCATACAGCACTTTGTTAATGTCCCTTTTATTTTGCCACGTTTTGTCACATCACAACCAAAACAAAAATTAATATTGGACAGTTTTTAAGTGGAACAAAAATAATGCTTAACTTTCTAGATGTTTTTCTTACAAAGAAAAATCGGACAGTGTAGTATGGCTGTCTCCATCCATCTTCTACCACTTGATGATCAGGGTCATGAGGTGCTGGTGAAATCCTCCCGCAGTCTATGAGTAAAAGGCAGGATACATCATGGACCTGTCACCAGTCCATCACAGGGCAACATATAGAATAGAATAAAATAGAATAGAAAATCCCTTTATTAAGGTGGTTGGGAACAGTGATGGTTATAAAGTCTTACAGCTGCTGGGAGGAAGGATCTGTGATAACACTCCTTGGTGCATTTAGGGTGCAGCAGTCTGTCAGTGAAGGAGCTTTCGAATTCACCAACAGCCTCATGCATGGGGTGGGAAACATTATCCAAGAGAGATGTTAATTTAGTTAGGATCCTTTTGTTTCCTATCTCCTGCTCTGAGTCCAGAGGGCATCCAATCAGAGATGGCCTTCCTGATCATCTCCTCAGCCACTTTCTCACAGCTAAAGATTAGCCACTGCTCCAACAGACAGCTCTATAGAAGGAGCTGAGACGTACAACCATCCATACAAACACATACAGACACAATCACAACTAAGGGCAATTTAGAGACAGCAGTTAGCCTAACAGTCGTGTTTTTGGACAGTTGGAGGAACCCAGAGTATCTGGTGAACTGAGAGATGGTGCACTGAGAGAGCATGCAAAATCTATGCAGAAAGACCCTACAGTATGTCAAGGATTCAGCCCGGGACTTTCTTTATGCAAGACAGCAGTGCTAGAATTTGTACTGCTGTGCAGCATGGATATTTGTATTTAAATACAATCTAGTGTCACTAATTATCATCAGAAATCCTCTAACTTGTGATTAGATTTGACCTATGTTCAGTTTAATCCTACTAAGACTAGCTGTTTAGTGAAGGCCTCTGCGTTTTGCTTGAAAACACAAAGAGATGGAAAGACTGCAAATAGGTCAGGGTCTAGAAAACAAACATTCCGCCCCCTCACCAGTTCACAGAAGAAAATCAGCATA